TCTTTCAAGCATTAGAAACTTATGAGTTCTCTAAATATGGACACCTCAGCATGAGGCTTTGCCTTAGAAACGGGAAATTGCCAATGAAATCTATTTCCTGGAAGGCTTTTTTGTTAAAGAGAGAAACAGAAGAACACAATCTTGAAGAGCTGTCATCATGTGGAAGCTAATTGGAGAGTTCCTACTGATAGAAATTAGCTAAAAAAAAAAGACAATAAAGCTAAGCTCTCTGTTTTAGGATTGTAATGATGGTAGGGGAACTGAAAAAGTGGCGGTGCGTGGGAGGTGGGGGACATTTCCTCCAATACTTACAACAATGACAATCTAAAAGCCGCTGGACTCTGAAAGTAGTTCCTCTGTTTAGGTTTAGGTTCACAGAAAAAGAAGTCCTAACCTAGAAATGTATTGTTTTATTTGTTTTTTTTTCTGTTGGCGAGTCTGAAAAATGAGCGGTTCCCTGCAGAAGGGCACAGCCATTACAGCACAGCTGATAAGCTCCAGGATTTCACAGGAACAGCCTCCTCTGCTCTCTTTGTTTCACCACACTCTCCTCTGTTTCTATAGCACAGTTTAAAAGGCTTGAACACATGAAGATGTCAGCCATGAGCAAAAGCAGCATTGGTTACACCCAAAGATGAAGTCATCCTCAAAGGCTATCCAGCAGACAGCAAAGTGGCCAAAAAACTGTAAACTCCCCTACAACATGGGTTCAGGCAGAGCTACACTTCTGTCTTTTTATTTTACAGGAAGTCACAAATGCAGCGTGTTGGGTAACTGAATTCCTGTTAATGCAGCCTGTAGCTCTGAACTGTTTCTGAGGAATGTAAATCAGCTCAGAAAGCCTACATTTGGGCCTGTTTCTGCTTAGGTTTAGTGCTGACACTTTGGCACATGATGTGGTTTAACATGACCAACACTCAGCCCTGTTTATAGTTTGCAGAAGTGCTCAACAGCCTTGCTAAAATGAGTTACCTTTTAGTTAGAGCTACAGTAGATGTAATTTATATGTTAATTATTAAACATGGACATTTCCATGTATTTAAAGAATAATGTGTTTTAGCTTTAAGACAACTGCTCAGATTGGATTTCTATGGCTGAGTCTGATTTGCAGTTTCTTATAAAGCTGTGTCTAACGTCATTCGATTATGAAATAACTTGAGTTTCCTTCTCTCAAAAATTTGACTTCATTTATATTGCTTCAGCTGCAAAAAATCTCTTGTAAACTGAAAATCAGACGGACAAGAAAGTGCTTTGTATTCTATGAAGACGTTGACTTTATGCTTTCTTCCTTTATCTCAGAAGTAAACTGGGAAGTCAGAGTAACATAATCTCCAAGGTTTCCCACTTGTTTGAAAGTCAGAAAAGGACATGGAACTCATTCTTTGCTGCCTTAATTCACAATGGCTGACTTCATGTAGGGATTGGGCCATAACTCCAACTGACTTTTTTAAAACCTTGTTAGATTATACATGGGTACCAAATTTCCTGATTCGCAATCAAAGCATGGTTTTGGGCTTAATGTAATTTCATGACAGAAAGCCAGATTTTGGCGGTTGGCCATGCCCACCTGCTTTGATAGAGAATAATTTTTGTCATAAGGTTTGATCCCTAATGCCTAAATTCTATGCGCAGTTAATTTGAAGTCTGTAACTCAAAAGCTGTTAGCCTAGTAACTAGCCCCAGTGGCCAAAATAATTTTTGCCTGCAAGTTTGGTCTAGCCTCGATCAATGCCCCAGGCCCTAGAACTGGCCGGCGAATCACAATGCAGAGTTAAATTTTGGATGCAAAGCGGGCGGGGTTTTGAGAGCGTGACGATAAAGCTGCACAATGCTGGAGAAAGCACAACAAGGAAGATGGCAACAACTATTGAACAGTTGCATGTTCTGCGGCAGCAGCAGCTTTCAAGTTAAAAGTTCTCTTTTCTGTTGTTTAATAAAAGTACATTTTAAGATCATTTGAGGCAAGAATATTATACTTTAAAGCGTCAATATATGGGCCATTTACTGATTTAATGCGTAATTAAAAAATACATTTCCGAAGTCAAGAGGACCGCGGCAACCACCGGAGCTCCGAGGCTAACGGCAGCCAGTGCTACCCACAGCCCGTCTGTAGTGGCCCTCTCTCGGCATAGTCGTGTGTGAAGGACCGCTGGCTCTGATGGCGATTTTTGACCCAGCTTTGCATTCAGTTTTAGAAGGATTAGACTTGGGGTTTTCGTCGAAACGTGAGCAGGAAGAAGCTCTACGCTCATTCATTTTTGGACGTATTCGCCGTTTTACCGACAGGCTGTTTGTTTACACTCCCCCACCAGCTTTCTGTCACCCTTACTACGTGACAGTCAGTTGCGCTCATTGGTCAGAGCTTTGGCCAATAGGGACAGACATGGTTTGAAAGTCAACAGGTTGTTTTCATCAAAATTCTTCCGAAGTCTCATTTATAGGGGCCAGAATAAATTACACATTTAATCTCAAATTGAGTCTAGTTTATCAGGCTAAAAAGCTGTAGGAATTCATTCCAAAATGGCCGACTTCCTATGGGGTTTGGATCACGGCTTACTGCAAAAAATATGAATCTAGATAAGTCATTTTTTTCTTAAAATAAGTGCATTTGTTCTTAAAATGAGGAGGTAAAACACATTTTGCCAACGGAACAAGACAATTTTCACTTAAAATAAGAAAACACAATTGCATTGTCTTATTTCAAGTGCATATTATCTTATGGGCAAACTATGTCATTTACCTGCTCAAATTAAGGGTGAATACACTTAATTTAAGAAATTTTTACTTATTTCTAGATCGTTTTTGCAGTGAGACTTTGCTGGTCCTGGGGGCATACACATGTATGCCAAGTTTCATAATCCTCAGTGAAATCATGGCTTTGGGGCTGTTTTTATTTATTTATTTTTTTAGTATTTAAAATAAAGCCATCCCTGCTAAATATTGGGCTGGATTCCTGTGTTGAGTAGGCATCATAGCCATTTTGGTGCAGATTTAATGATCTATGTGGAAATTAGAGCTAAAGGTATGGTCATGGCGATATGTCTCTCTTCGCCATGCATTGCATCATTTAACTATAACTCTACGTGCCTTAAACTAAGTAAGAATAACATGTGATATATCTTCTGTCCTAGTTTCAATTTGATGAGGTTAAAGATGTCAGAAAGGGACCCTCCCAAATAAAAAAAAGGGTATTTCTTCTGTCAGGGGTGGAAAATTTGATGATGTAATCATTTGACCAGCCAGTATCGTCACGCAGTCCAAGGAGCACAACGCTACCAAATCTGCTTCAGTTATTGCATCTTAAAATGCATGGCAAGTATGCTAACTTCGGGGTGCCATTTTTTGCCAATCGGAAGGGAGCCAAATGCCGTTTGTTAGCGGGTTTAAAAAAAAACACATTAATCCACTAATTTCAGTTGGACAGAGGCTTTATAAACATTTCAAAGAAGTAACTTGATAACTAACTAGGGGTTTCCAATGTGCGGACACCAAGTTGGGATGGCGAAGGTTTTCATAATTGATGTATTTTGATGTCGAATGTCCCATGAAATAAGTAGATTAAGAATTTATTCAACTTAAAGTGTTACAATGCACAAATAAATAATTAATTTCCCATTCAATAGATAGAATTATGCCTTAAATATTTAAATACAATAAAAATAGATAATTACATAACTTTATATGTATTAATAAGTAGTAGAGTGAAGTAATTAAGTCAATATGTAGTTTTGGGGAGTTGCCAGTATGTTGCATTGTTATTTGAGGGGTCACAGACTGAAATGGAAAGTCTTTCTCACTGTTGAATCCGGAGGTCTGGTTGCCCTGGCTTTCCTACTCATAATTCCGACTTTTAGGGACTTTCCAGCTAAAATCTTCCTCTTGAGGTTGGAAAGTTTGACTTCCAGTACAACTGAGATGCAGTTTGAATCTTCACTCAAATTTGAATGTTTTGGGTCAAATCCCTTTTAGACACCTTTTAGTCTAAAAGCTAAATTTTAGAGATGCACCAATTTAATATTAATATTCTTATCAGTTCATATATTGTTGAAAACTCCTCCGGTATGAGTAAAAAATTTTTTTCCACTAAATATTTCCTAATATTTTTATTTTGTTAATTTGTCTGTTTTTGTTTCCATATCCATCTGTCCTGACCATTACACCTCAATCATGAGCTGGGTTAACCACCAGGCGAATGTTTAAAAAGAGTCAGAGAAATACTTGTTTGGAAGAATCGCTAAAACTATTCTTGGCAACACGCTGGCGGCATTATAGCAACAGCAACCCTGGGTGTCAAATAAGTGAAAATTATCCTTCAGGTTTTTCTTTGAATTTTAATACCGGTAGGTTGTGCAGTATATGCATTTGCTATATTTTCCTTCAGATTTATTTGTATATAAAAATGGAGGAAATAACTGAATTACTGTGGGATATACTTAAATAACTTACATTTTTTATTTGATAACAGGAAATCATATCAAAACTGAATTTGCTTCTTTGTTTTGCCGCATTTGCAGGATTTTTTTAATGTCAGATTTGCTAGCCACACAGTAGCCAAGATAACTGAAAAAAAATAGTTTACTTTTAGTAAACTTTGCACCGCTGCATCAAACCTGATAAAGTATTTTCAATGATGAAAAATAGTAACTTTAGATCACAGGATGCTGCTTGAATTATGGATGACAAATGTTTGTCCACAAAGGTGTAATTAACCACATTTCAATGAAATAAAATGCTCTCAGTGTGCCCATGAACACTGGTTTGAAAGCCTTTAGAGGCAAGGATCTCCAGTGTCTTCAGCTACATTGTCTAATTAGACATTCAGAGTGAAGCTTACAGGCAAACAAGCAAAACATCTGCACCACATGAGCACATTCACTTTAGAGAAGATAGTAAGATATGATAGAATAATAATGGGCTAGATCATTTATTTATGCCATGCTAGTCCCTATTTTGGTTGTGAGGCTCTGTCAGATTAATGTTTCTTTTTTTCCCAAACGCAGTTCCTGTGCCTGAAGAACATCCGGACCTTCCTGGGAGCGTGCTGCGACTCATTCGGAATGAAAAAGAGCGAACTGTTCGACGCGTTCGACCTTTTTGATGTCAGGAACTTTGGCAAGGTAAGGCAGGCCCTTGCCGCCAGTCATACAGTGACATTTTGGCATGGTTTGGGTAAATCAAGGCCTCATCCTTCCCCGCTGTGCGTACCAGCTGTCTACAAAGATGTAGTGAATCAAACAAATGAGCCTTTATGCAGGCCCTTACTCTTGTTTAAATTATTTATTGGTTAAAACACTTTGTTTTCCCTATAATTTCAGATTTAAAATGACAACCAAATTTCTGAGGTGGAAAAAATAGAAACCTCTATGCACATTTTGTAAAGGCTGACTTATTTCAGGCTTCCTATATTACTATATTATCATATTTATGAACAGAGACATTCCATGTTTGCAGTAATTATCATATAAGGTGGTCCTACAGCACTCTTTCCACAGCTAAACTTTTATCCCAACACTGAAAAAGCAACAGCATGACCCAGAAGTTCCAATCGCCTCGTCTCATTAAAGCGAAAATGTCTCAGCATGTTGGCTTTACAAGGGTTTAAAGTGGGGACTCTGGTTACTTGTAAAGAGCTTTTATCCTTAGTTTGCAGAGCTGTGAAAGACTGTGGCTCTCTGACAGTGATGGCGCTGGCCACAAGACGTTCCCGGGAGGTTTAATTAGGAATTACAGCCTTTTGCTGAGATAAAATGCTTTAGGCTCCATGGCTTTAAATATCTACAGTATATATGTACATGTTAAATAGGATTACGTGGAAAAACCAAAGAACTTTATCTCATATATTCACATAAAACTTTATGTTTTTTAATTATTCTTTTAAAGCAAAGATAAGAATTGTAACTGTAACAAGCTCTTTTGGTATGGATGGCATTAGAATATCTTTTATTAAGCTGGCTGCGTCTATGTTAAAGACTCTAAGTTTAACATAATGCAGGAAGTAACTATAGTTTTTGTCCATTTATTGGGGGATCATTGTGAATTGTGAAGCTTACTGATGAAGTCTCGTTAGAAATACTTCAGCAAGAATATTGCAACTGGCTAATTGTTAGCCACTAATGATGCTAAGGTTGAGAATGCACCAGAGTTTACTTATTTGCATGAAGTAACCTGGTCTGCATTAGTCTTGTTCATAGTTTAAAATACTTAGTGGCCAAAGCTGAACTTGGGAAGGGAGGATTCTTAAAAGATGGTTTGATATTTATTAAAACGTCCTTCTAATTTTAAAGGCAATGATTTTCAGTAATTCTGTACTATTAGAATCACCTTTGAATAAGTACTGAATTATTGAACAGTGGTAAATATTTATTTAAAACAATTTTTGTTCCTTAAAACTTTGACTGTATTTGTGAAACACAAAGTGTAAAATATAGTTTTTTTATTTTTTCCCCTGAACATTTCCATTACATTGAATATAATTTATTTAAATTAAATGTTCTGTCATCTAACAGCTCACAAGGCTAAAACCTCCTTTAAATTAAATCTCAACAATGCTTTCGTGGCTTTTAATTTAATAGGATAAAGACATGATTTAGCGGTAAGACCAATGCTCTAACATTGCCTTTTAATGCATTTTACTCTTTTGTATTCACAATTTTGTCGTCCAAATAAGCCAGGTTACCTTGGACAATTTTTGTCAGGTTCAAAAAATTATGCCACCACTCTAGCCAACATGAATGCTGCACATGTAGTACACCGCTAGAAAACTGAAGTAACTTAAATATCACAACACAGACAGAATAGAAAATAACTTGAGCTCAAAATATGCCAACACTGGAAAAAAAATCTAAATCTATATAAGTAATTTTTTCTTAAAATTAGTGCATTTTTTCTTGAATTAAGGAGGAGAGTGAGACACTTTGCCCATGGAACAGGACAATTTACATTCAAAACTATCTAATTATCTAATTATTGCATTTTAATAGTAAAAATACTCCTTCCATTTGCAGATCGTCTTATTTACCTACTCAAATTAAAGGCAAATACACTTAATTTAAGAAATACTGACTTATTTCTAGATCGTTTTTGCAGTGAATATACAAGCTCTGTTGACAACAAATTTATGTTCCATAAAATCCTATTTACTTCCTCCTAATTAGGCCAACTGAAAAAGACGATCCTTGCTGTTCCAAACACCATATTAGATAAATGGATAATTTTAGGCCAGTGTGACCCGGAAAGGTTACTTTGGATAACAATTTATATTCATACCGAGGCGGCTGTTTGACTTGCATATGTGTAAATTAGGTTTGTGCTTCTGAACTTCCCCTTTTAAGACAAATGTGCAAGTCAGGTGGCAACACTGTTCCAGTGAAAAGTTTATGAAAGAGAACAGCTTGTGTAAAGCAAGCCTGTGAAACTGTTGCACTGTGTTTTCTTGTAACAGCACCCATTGGCCAACATTGTGAAACAGAGTCAGCTTCTCCACTTTGCAGATTTTCAGTTGGAACAAGATAAGTGTAATCATGTGTCCTCAGTCTGGACGACTCTTAGAATTTAAGCAAAAATGGAAGATGGTTTAATTGGCTAAAATCTGCAAATAAACTTTTGGTTGACCTGATTAAAGAAGGGTTAGTTTTAATTATGTATGGAGGAGATATCATTAAAAAATACTTTCCTGAAAGGAATAAGAAGTGAAATTAAGGGTTAAGAAATAGACAACAGTACGTGTTTACTCCCACTGATTCTACTTCCACTTAAATGCATGAGCAGCTGACTGAATTTTCATTAAGTCATTTGTAATTGAAACCCTTCTGGACCTTTAGCAGGTTTCTTTGCTTATGCCAGGAAATATTTTCACTCAGTGTGCTGAGTGAGGATGTAAATACAGATTCTCAGCAAAACTCACTAACAGATCAGGGATTTTTATTGCTCAACAACTGTTACTCATTGTATTGTTTGGATTTTCATGTTTTTCCATTGCAGTTTCCAACCATGTTTTATGTTAGAGGAGATAAAAGCTTGTCTCTGGTTTTTAATGCTTAATTTAAACAGAACTATAGAAGCATGATAGTAAAGCTAGGAAACAATGGGTTGAGATTTTACCCTTTAAGGAAATGTAGTTTAATAATTACGTTTATTTTTTTATCATTTAAAAGTTCTTCCTTTGTTTAAATATTTAAGAAATTCTATTCAGTACAAACTTTATTGCGATATAGTCTACTGCATGGCTCTTTAACTTTTTCCCAGTTTTTCCTTTTTCAGCTACAAAGTGAAATGTATTTCATTAAATTTTAACACCAGAGGCTGAGACCAAACAAGACATTATTTTTAAGTAGAAACAGATGATAGATGGCTTTGAAAAGTTTTAACTCATAAAAATAATACAACTTTCAACATCTTTTGGCACAGTGTTCAATCCATCATCTTGGAAATGGAAAGGCCGGGGCACAGTGTTGCTAAAGCGGCTCCAGAGATCCAAAGCTCAGACTGGAGAATCGATTATTGACGCTTTCTACAAATTTGATTGAAAACTCCTAAAAACAAAGTTTAATAAGAGACCAGAATGGAGCTTGTTGGCAGAGATACACCAAAGTTTTTTTTTCAGATCCAATCCAATACCGATACCTGGGTTGATCATATTGTCCATTATGTGATACAGATCCGATTCAACGGTTTAAAGAATCAACCATAAATCTTACTATGTGAGTGAAGGTTTTAACCTTGACAAAAACCTTGTTAAAAAAGGTAACAGATTAATCAAGATATAGATGTACTTTATATTATTTATTGACAAATAAAGAGATAAAAGAGAGAAAAGTGCCAATAACAGAGAAAAAAAAGTTAATTGCCATTATCAGATATCAAACCTGGTACCGCTCTAAAAAACACCACTAGGGCTAATGCCGCAGACCGCCCTAAGCACACTGTCAACATGACGAAAGAATGTTAGGAACTAAACAAATGAATACTGTCAAGGTTGGGTGGAGGTTGGTTGAAGACCCAAATGCAGAGATAAGGGAGGTTTAATGAAATGTAGAAAGCAACAGAAGCAAAAATCCAAGGAGAATTACAGGAAAACAAAAACCAGGAGACATCAGGGGAAAACACACATGAGGAGCAACGTAACCAGCACTGAGAATCGACACAAGAGGAGTATAAATGGTAGAGTGAAGATAGACTGCTAATCAGCTGACAAGGAGCAGGTGTGAATAAAAGCAACTAAGCTAGGGGAAATGGCGCAAGGGGGCAACAGAGAGCGACACAAACACCACACACTGCCAGAAAACAACTATTAAGACAAAATTACTCTTTTTTTTTTTAGTTTTTACGGCACTAGTGAGCCGTTTTTTTCAAGAGTAGGCTGACATGAAAGGGGTTATGAGAAAGGGGGAGAGACATGCAGCAAAGGACCACTGGTCGGATTCAAACCCGGCTGACCTGGATTCGAAACCTTCTCTGAAAATCTGACTTAAAGACCCTGAAAGCTTAAGAAGAAGCCTAAACAAAGTGCGGAACCCTTAAAAACACATGCAAAATGTTGTAAGACATCCAACCGCCGCCAGAGCTACAGTTTGATGGTTTAGACCAGAGCATATTCCTGTTTTCGGATGGCCCAGTTAGGGTTACGACCTGATTACTGATGTCCTGTATACCACATAGAATCCATCTTCCTCCGCTTCTCTGGGGTCGGGTCGCAGGGGTAGCAGCTTAAGTAGGGAGTCCCAGACGTCCCTCTCCCCAGCCACTTGGGCCAGCGCTCCCAGGCCAGCCAAGAAACATAGTCCCTCCAGCATGTCCTGGGTTTCCCCCCCTGGGCCTCCTCCAATTATTCAATTAAAATATATTGAGCTCAGATTTTGTCAGGTGACAAAATGAAAGTGGTGCTCTAAGCACATATATAGAACACCGTATACAAATACCAGTGGAGTCTCATCAATATCAGTGTTTACAAAGAGTCAAAACCACTGTATGTGTTAATCTTTTCTTTATGAACACCGAATAACATACCAAGAAATGTTTAGTTTAGTCTGTCATTTTTAAAGCTCGACAGCTGAATGCCAATTCAGAGTCAACTGAGTGATAAAAAGTATCAGTTGTCTACAAGCCATTTCGCTTTGAA